CAAGATTTCAGCTGAGCAAAAATCCCAAACACACTTTAAAACTGGCTTTGGGATGGATGAAACAGGCTAACATCAGCCTTCTGGAATCTGCTTCTCAAAGGCCAAATCTCAGCTCTAAAAAAAATTTGGCCACTATGTTTAGAAATGCAGTCAAAATTTTAAACTTAACAATTCAGAATTGTTATCTTTAAAGCTGACAAAGACTGTTTATTTAAAAGCTAATAGTCTCTATTTGCACAGAAACTGTGCAAATAGGTGTGCTGTCTGAGCCAAAGGAAATTTAAGGTAACATTAATTGGGGTGTATGTATATTTTTGAGACTTGCACATTATATTGACTGTATATAATATAAAGGGAAGTGCAGAATTTAAAAAAAACTGAGAACACAGCTGTAATTACAGCTTACAGCGCTTTTCAAATTTAAACTCTCAATCTAAAAGCAAACATATTAATGGCTAAAATTTAAACCTCTTCAAATGAACTCTTTTTATGTTATATTGCAGTGAAAATATTAGCTGCCTTGTATGTTTAGTATCAGACACCCTCTGTACACAGATGCTATGCTACAGTACATCTTCCCCTCACCATGTAAATCTCAGCCTGCAGGGCCATTTCCTCCTCCATGTGACCTTTTCTTCTGTTGACACCATCATCCTTGTTCCCAAGGTATTAGGATTTGTTGGGTGTGACATGTTCCTTGTGGTTCCGCCATCAATTATGCATAAATAATAATAACCTCACACAACTGCTGATTTGCAATGACACTTTCATTCCGACGGCAGCAGCCTATAACTCAGTGCTACCTATTAGTTATTAATGCCTGGCCACGCCAGCTTTACTTTGTCATTTATTGCTTCATCTCTATGCCTTTTTAAATATTCAGCAACTGATGTATCTACGTTTACTGTCTGTGTTCCCTGCCCAGAAAAGGACTGTAGCATCTGGTGGAGGATGATGTAGTAAAGATGGTAAGCCAAGGCTTTGCTGTTTGCACAGCAGTATTGGCATGGGTGGGTTACTTGTGTCAACTGTTTGAAAACTTGCTGTTTTAAAACAACCACTTTCTTTTTTACCCTTCAAGCAGTTTAAAGTCATTTTAATGTAAGAATGGAGCAGATGACCTGACTAATTAACAAGCTAAAATCAACTTGACATGTGTGACTCCAAAAAGCACAACGACAGAATGATGTTAAAGTAATATTCTGCATCCTATGGTTGGCTCAGAGCTTAACTACTTCATAACTGCTTAATTTAGCATGCTCTATATCGTAATAAAAATAATAATTCTCTCAACATGTCTCTCTCTTTGAGCTAAAACCAATAAAAGTGCTACTTCAGTCATTAGCTAAACATTTTTGGTTAACATAGAAAATACTTCTGTGACCAGGGCTTCTGTGTTTTTTTTTTTTTTTTTTTTTTTTTTTGTCTATCTGCTCTGTCTTCTCAAATCCCTCGTTGGTCAAAGCGGATGACCGCTCACAGTGAGCTTCGTTTTGCTGCTTCTTAAAATGGGGTTGTTCCTTTTCACTGTCACCACATGTATACTTAATATAAGGAATTACTATGAAGGTAACAACTCTATGCAAGCAACTATCTCCTGTCAGCACTTTTCATTCAGGTGGACTGGTTGCTGCAAAGTTCATCACTAAAAGTGTCTCAGGGATTTTCTTTGATAGAATACCATTTTACCAATTTATGCAATAAATGGAATTTCACTGTATTACTGTAAGATTGAGTGTTTGTAATAAGATATTAATTTATCTAAATGATTAAATGGGTTTAACTATAGAATTTTTTTTATATAAATTGAATTTCTTTGTCTTTTAAAGTGACTTCAAGTGACACGTATTGTAAATTTGTGCTACATATATAAACTGAAATAAAACTAAATTTAAATACATGGATAGACAACATTAATACATAGCAAAATCTAAAATTATTTGTAACACTGGTAGATTTAGATTTAGAATTAGTTTGCTTTTGGTAGAACATTGAGATAGGCTCCTCTAAATAGTTAAAAAATAAAAGAGGAATCAGTGTAAAAAAGTAATTTTTTAACCATGTGTATGTACATTTGAATAAAAAGTGGAATGTCTAAAACAAATAATAAACATCTTAATAATCAGTGTAGAAATGTTTTTTTTTTTTTTTTTTGCATTAGAGCAATCAAGTTCATTTTATAATTGCTCCGTAGCTTTTTGTATGTTTTCACTGCTATTTTGTTGATGGACTGAAAGTCTTTGAGAGTGGAAGGCCTCTTATCCATCACCCTTATCTTCTGTGGGGTTCATATAGTAGTTTAAAACAAATAAATCACTTTGCAACAATAACAATTTTATCTTGAATGGATTAAAAATTCCATGTATAGTTTAATATTTCTGATTTGAAAAAGTAAAATGCAGTTCTCATCCAGTCTTAGAGACTAAATGGATTAATTGTTGTCCTGGCTGCCATACAGCTGAGACATCCATGTTCATATAAAACAAATCAGTGTGGCAGGTCAAAAGAGCAGGTAGGCTAAGGCTACATCATTGTTTAAAACACCAAATTGTAAAGTTTGGACTGATAAACTGAATGTTAAGTTATTATAAAACGCTCACCACAGATTGTTAAAACAGTGGCATAACATTTGGTGGAGTTAATTGTATGTGTAGTCAAATGTAAAGGTCTTAATCCCAAATCTGCCTTAAATTTAGATGTGCAGTGGTTATGCTATTTTTGGATGTGTGATCCAAGAAGCTTGTTAGATTCTGATCAACATATAACAACTAGGACTATATTGTAGCATAAGATTGCCTTGATTAGTCAATGCATTTTTATTATGTTGCCTGAGTCAATACTTTCATATAATTACAATTTAAAGTCTTTTGTTTTGGCATTCTGCCATCATTGCCCATTTAGAAATTGACATTTCTTACTTGCCTACCTTCTTTTCAGCAAAATAGCTCACCAAGATCAAACGAGGAGCAACTGAAAAAAATCAATTTTCAATTGGATTCATATCTGGACTTTGACTGGGCCATTCCAACTCATGGATGTGCTTTAATCTATCTCAATGGGGTCCAAATGTTTTGCCATATGACAACAAAAGTTAAAAATTGAATCATAATTTTTTGTCATTGTGATTTTTTTATTGTTATGTGCTCAATAATAAACTAAACATGGAATACTTTATTGATAGAAACAAAGTGACAATTTTTTTTATAGGAAATTGACCCATGTAGGGTCTCAGACTTATTAAAAATAAATAATTTCTGACATTTCAGAGTCAATGGTCATAGGCTAATCTTAGCAACAAGAACAGGCCTGTGAGAATAGAATGAGACTTAAAGAGTAGACGTTAAAATAATTCTGTCAGTTTATAAATCACTGAATGGCATAGCACCAACTTTTGTTATGGTATTAACCTTCCAGATCGCTCAGGTCTTCTGGTTCTGCTCTGCTCTGCATCCCCAGAACCAGAACCAAACGAGGAGAAGCAGCATCCAGCTTCTAGTCACCAGAAATCTGGAACAAACTTCCAGAGAATTGCAAAACAGCTGAAACACTGAGTTCCTTTAAACAAAGGCTAACAACCCACCTATTTAAATTTGCTTTTGATTAGTATTTGGTGAAACATTGACATATTGATGTGATTTGATTTGATGATGGCTTTTGACAATATGCAATGTTTACTGCTTGTTTTTAATTGGTAATTGTATGTTTTTATTATGCAAAACACTCTGAACTGCCTTGTTGCTTAAATGTGCCATGCATATAAACCTGACTTAACTTGACTTTGATGGTCAGTCAAATTTGTGCAATTGGCACATAAATTCATAACAAATACCCCCAGTCTGGACTTTGGACAACCCTGATCTAACCCATTCAATTGAAGTACTGGTTAAATTTTTGTTGTCCTGCTGGAAGGAGAATCTCTTTCTCAGTCAAAAATCTTCTGAAGCCTCTTAGCTTCTCTGTCTCTGCAGAATCACGAATCATGGTCGTGATTCTGCCAATACCACGTTTCACCGTAGAATTTGTGTTCAAAGTTTTTTTTTCCAAATGTTTTTTCTTGCCACTCTTGCACAAAAGCCAGATTTGTGTAAAACACAAGAAATAATTGTTTTTATTCTACTTGCCCAGCCTGTCAATTTAAGTAGCCAGCCATATTCCGTTAGATTTGCAGATGTGCCATTTTGGTTAAGGGATTGAAAACCTCGTCATAAACACTGGTCTTTGCAGAAAAATGTTATCTTCTTTGAGCTGGAGCCACTGTATTTCATTTAGTGGTGCCAGAATGAAGAGGGTTGAATACAAATGCACACCAAACAGTTTGGATTTTTATTAGTAAAAAATATTACGTTGTTGGATTCCTGTAACGGTTGTTTGACATCATATTTGTTTGTAGTATGGGAGAGTAACATAACTGATTAAACTCTAACATTTCTGTTATTTCCTTAATTGGGTGTTCTAGGTGCTGATCAGCGCCCTCTAGGGGTTTTGATCTCTGCTGAAGCGTTACCAGCCTGCAGCATCACGGGTGCGACGTCCCACTTCAATTATTGGATATGATTTTTATGCGGACATTCTCCTCTAATATGAAGATGAGAACTTTTTGTTTCTCTCTGAAGAGGCGGAGTTTGCCTTACGAGCAAAAATACGCCTTCTCCCATGCCAGCCTCCGAATCACAGGCGAAACAGAGCAAATGTCTGAACTGCTGATGTTGTATTTTTTGTTTTATTAAAAAAAAAAAAAAAAAAAAAATCTAAATCTAAAAAAACATTGATATCTTAAAATGCATTTTGGAATAGTTTTTTTATTTGTATTTTATTTTTATACAGTTCTAGACCCTGAAATAAGATTTATTTATTTGTTTGTTTATTAATTTATGATGTTTTTTAAATCTAATTTTATGGTAGGACTAGCGGATAAATTATTTAACAAAAAATAAAATAAAATAAAAGTATATCTCTCCCACCTCCTCCTCCCCCTTTTTTTATTTTTATTTTATTTTTTACCATAATTGGTTTCGTGATTCGAATCGATCAGCAACCAGTATAAATTTTACACATGTATTTAGTGAGGTAATATTGTGACATGCAAAGGAGTGAATGAAATCCGTCAGCAGAAACAATTTGATGAGGCTCTTTTCATCAGCAGCACCATCTTGACTGCCTGTGGAGGAACAGAAGCAGAAACAGAAGTCCTTTTCCTTTCCCATGGGGATCGGATAAATATAGTACCTGAAAGCCCTCTCACACACACTCTCTCACACACACTCGCCATTTGCTGTTTGTGTAGAAGCGATTAGCCAGACACAACTGCGAAACTGTTACCTTTATGGTGGCCAAGCCGCAGAATATTCTGTAAGATGATCCGGCTGTGATGTGATGGGAGATGAAAATGTGTCTAAACTGTGACCTCAGGCCGGGATCATTGACTGGAAAACTGGAAAACCCTTTTAGTTCCATATAATTATGTGCTATAATTTTATATAAAAAAACATATTCCAAACTTTTAAAAGCTTTGTAATTTTTTTTTGTGTGTGTGAGAGTGTGTGTGTGTTTTATTTTATTTTACATTGATACGGTTGATATTTAGCGCTAAACTTATTTAACTACATTAATCCTCTTCTATAACACATCTGATTGATATGAATATAATTTTAATTATTGAGGGTTTTGCAAAAATTAATTGATAATATATGAAAACAAAAAGTTGAAAAATCTGGAGCTGACAAGATTGATAAAAAGGGTTCTCTTGTTATTGCTATTTCGTTTCTTTTTATTGGCTGGTAAGTTATGAATTATGAGCATAATAAGTTTTGACGAACATTAAAAATAAAATGTTAAAATTGTTATTTTGCATTGCATTTTTTGTAAATTCATTGCAATTATTTTTTCTAATAGACCAATGCGGATATTTACTCCTAATATCTTAAACACATGTCAGATTATTTTAAACGTTTAAAAGAAATGAAAATAGTTTTAACTTTTTCATAAATTTATTTACAAATAATTTCAGCTTACAACACCAGATAACTACATAGAATTACATATATTTGATTTTTTTATTATTATTATTATTAATAATATTATTATAAACAGTCTTTTTGCACTTGATCGTGTCTTGTATGAAATGTGTCAAGTCGAGCCTCCAATAGAAAAAAAAGGAAAAGTCAAAATAATTATCACAGATCTCAAACAGGAACAAAGGACAGATAAAAGTCAGACGGGTAAAATTATTTTCCCTTTTTTTCGTTTTACAAATATTTACAAATGTTACCTGTACAGAAATACTTTCCTTTTCTTTTCTTTTTTTCATTTCTCTTGTATTTCAAGAGTCTTTTTCATGGCTTTACAGTCCAGTGCTGCCTATTGATTTGTGCTCTTCACGCCTCCCAGTGATAAAGTCTCTATATAAAAATAAGAGTTTTTTTTTCCTTGCTTTTCAGTCACTGTGACGGCCATTTGGAGACCGCTGCCGCCGTCGCTGAAGGTAAAACGTGTCCAGAAATAATATTTGAAGGGACGCTGAGGATGGGAGCGATCGCGGCAGAGGTCCGGGTCAGAGAGAGGGACTGCGCGCTCAGCAGGGCCGACTGAACGGTGACCGGAGGCCGGAGGAAAGCCTGGGCGGCGCCCGGCGTCACGGACGACGAGCTGGACACCCCGATGATGTTCTCTATGCTGAAGGACGGCCTGTTTGACGGCTCGGATTTTATCATAGATGCCGTGCTCAGGCTGTTGAGCTGCAGCTGGAGGCTCGGGCTCAGTTGAGAGTTGAACGCCTTTCTGTTGAGCTCCGCCGAGGGCAGCAGGGGGACGCCCGGCGGGAGCATGGGCCCCACAGGTGGGATGTAGGGGTACTGCAAAGCCGCCGGGTGGGAATACGCAGCCGGGTGGATACCGTAGTGTCTCCCGTAGGGGCCTCCGAGGCTGTACGCCCCGAAACTCTGCATCATGAGTGCGGTCTGGTCCCTGAGCACGTCCGGCTGAACTCTCTTGAACCGTTTCCTCCTCCTGAGGAAGCTGCCGTTGTCGAACATGTCCTCTGAAGCCGGGTCCAGGGTCCAGTAGTTGCCCTTTCCGGGGTTGCCGGGCTCCCGGGGAATTTTCACGAAGCAGTCGTTCAACGACAAGTTGTGCCGGATGGAGTTCTGCCACGCCGGGAATTTCTCCCGGTAGTACGGGAAGCGGTTGCTGATGAACTCGCAGATCCCGCTGAGGGTGAGCTTCTTCTGCGGGCTCTGGAGGATCGCCATGGTGATGAGGGCGATGTAGGAGTAAGGCGGTTTCACCAAGCTGCTCTTGGGCTTCTGGATCGCTCCTCCCGGCGCTGCGCTCTGGTCATGACCCTCTCCTTTCCCTGAGCCCGGCTCTCCTTCCCCAGAGCTCTCGCAGCATGGGCTCCCTCCTCCGGACCTCATCTCCTCTTTCTCCACCTCGATCTCGTCCTCCAAGTCATCGTCGGCCGGCTCTCCTCGAAAGCCGTGCAGGATGCTGCCTCCCCCCGGGCTGTCGCAGTCGCTGTCCACCCTCTCCATGCCCTCATCGTCTCCCTCGCCCACCACGTCGATATCCACGTCCTCGGCTGTGAGCACAGTTTGGCCGGACATGTCGCTGGCTCGATCGCTGCCTCCAGAGAGGGTCATCTCACGGCTTACTCACACTTTAATGTAAAAAAATTAAAAAATAAAATAAAATAGGAGAAGAAGAAACTCACAGAAGTGGAAACAGCTGTGCAGCGGCCAGTGCGCGCACACCGGGGGTCTGCTGGACAAAAACCGGAGGTCTCCAACGATCTGAAGGTGTGCAGAAAAACTTCAAACTTCGAGAAATATTCCCCACGCTGGAAGTTAGCGGGGCCTGCAGAGCGGTGCGTTTTGTCTCAGAAGTTATTTGGAGAGAAAGCGCAACTTTTTTTTTTCTTTTTTTTTCTTTTGCCTTTTGCGCTCCGGCGTCTCTCCTGAGCGGCGGCGCGCGTCCTAAACCAGCGATATTTGGCGAGCTGAGTCGAACTGACACATTCTGCTTTTGGAAAAAAAGGCCGGAGCTTTTTAACCGGACTGACTGATAGATTACTTTCCCCCCTTGTATAAGATATACTATCAGAGCTGGACACGTGGTTCGGTGACGCCACACCCCCCACCTCTCATCTCTCCTTCGCTTCCAAAGCTTTGCTCTCTCCGCTCTCCGTTAAACCATGCAAACTGGAGTTGTTTCTTGGATTTGTCAACAATGGGACATCAGCAGCGCTGCTTTCCGCTGATTTTCTGTGTTCGTCCGTCATAGACCATTTAACGGTGGCGGAGGGAGGAGGAGGAGCAGGGGGAGAAAATTGGCCTGCATGATTGAAAGATCTGAAGCGCTCTAACGTGGCTGCGCAAAAACAACCTTTAACTTTTGCTAATTCGAACTGTGTTGACAGCTGCAGAGCGGTAACAGCGACAGCTAAGTTAAAGGAATCTGCTTGCTCGAGCTTTGAGTGTGTTTTTCCTTTTAAACTGTGAAATTGTGCATGAGAGGGTTTTTTTTATTTTATTTTTTATTTATTTTTTTTTTTTTTTTACCATCTGTGAATTCTACTGCTTAATCTTTTTCTTGTCTTGGCTGCGATGCACCACTTTATGTTTGCATTATTATAGATCCCGCTGTGAAACTTCAATGTGCGAACACAAAACATGATTTCCAAGTCTATTTATTCCTGCAGGATTAGTGGGAAGAGCGCGAGGAAGCAGCTGCGGCGGAATCGACCATGAATGTTGGGGGAGAGGAACGCATTTCCTTAAGAGTTTGGAAGAGGTGCAAACGACCCAGATCATTGCATGTGTTTGCATTTGAAAAAGAACAAACAAACAATCTAGGAAATGTAGACAGCGGGTGAATTCAAAGGAAGCATTTTTTATTCACAGGCTTGGAGGTGAGCGCTAAAGGTTGAAGTTTGGGCTTGGGAAAACAGCGAGATCCTTTTGTTTCGGCGCTAATATTTAGAATAATTGATGCGGACTTTGCATGCTGAAGAGAAATGTGTAGAACTAGAAATAAAATATAGAAAGTTCGCACCGCAGCTGAAGGAATTAAAATCAAGGACTTTATTTTTTTAAAAATTTAATATAAAGGGAATTTAAATGATGGAATTTTTTTGTAGTTAAATGCTCGTTTAAAGTTTGTTATGCTTACAGAGTATTTATTTATAACTTATTTATTTTATTATTGTTAGAATTATTATTACAATCATGTTTTACATCAAATTTACTTTTGTTCATCAGGTAATTCGTATTAATTAATTACTTACGGAATTTAACTTACAAAAACTGAAGAAACCTAAGCAAAAAATAATTTTCGTTTTTTTTTTTTAAATCAGTTTTTTAATTAAATATTTTTCTTTGGCTGTTGCTTCGTCGACATCTGATCAGCGCTGCGCAGAGGCGCTTCTCCTTGTCACACCTTTGCTGCTCTCCAGTCCGGGATAAAAGCGAGGATTAATCAGACGCTATCATTAATAACGCGCGTTCGGGTCAAAGGGACGGAAACCCGGCTTCCGATTAGCCTGGCCTCCCGTTTAATCTTCGGCTGACCTGTGAGATCCGAAGGTCCGTCAATATGGACTACTTAGCAGATGAAACCAGAGTCCGCGTCAACTTTCATCCTGCTCATCCGTGGCGCGCATGTGTGTGTGTGTGTGTTGTGTGTGTGTGTGTGTATGTGTGTGTGTGTGTGTGCGTGTGTGTGTGTGTGTGTGTGTGTGTGTGTTTAGGGTATCTCTCATTTCTTCCTGCTTCTCTAAATGAAAAAAAAGCACCTTGAAGAACTAGATTCTTTTTTTCTCTGAAAATGCTTAAAACAACATTTGTTTTTCTCTGTTGTAAAGTTGATTTTTAACATTACTTTATGCATTTAGGGAAGCATAAAGTATCAATTAGAGTCATGCTAAAAAGACTAATGTTTTATAGAAGTAGAACAAGAAGTTCAAATAATCTACTTTTTAAAAAATATTATTCATGCGTTTGAATTTTTTTTTTTTTAATGAGTCAGGCATCTTTCACTGTTTCCTGTTTTGTCTTTGAACCTGCAGGTGCAGCTGGCACAGCCAGTCCTAGGCATAAGCAAGCTACACTCCTACTCTGGACCACTCTGCAGCAGGGGGGTTCCCACTGAGCAGCTCGACCTCTCACACAGATGTAGATCTTAGGCTCTTCGAATTGTGCCTAAATGTCAAAAAATCTGATAATTTTATACTATGCTTTAAGGGTTTAAAATGAATTAATACAAATAAAATAAAAATAGATCTGAAAATAAAATAGATTTAGCTTCAAAATGTAAAGAATTATCAATATGGAAAAAATCATGGATTATACAGTTTAATATAATGTAACCAGTGCAATATTGTACTTACAGTTTAGTCGAATTTTATTCAAGCTAATCAGTCAATAAAAAAACCCCTCCATTTCCCACCCAATTTAAACTTCACTTTTCCCTCCCTTTTTAACTGCTCTTATTCAATAAATGAATTGGGGCCCAAAGGCCCAGGACCATATAAAGTATTGGCTTGGCTCTGTGTAAGTAGCGTAGATACCCGCTGATAAAAGCTCACTACAACAAGCACAGAGTGAGGGGGGTTTTCTAACCCGTCCTTCCTGTGATCTTTTGAAGCCCCATAAATCCGCTTTTATACCTCCGCAGTTTGTTAATGAAATGTGCGTTTTAAGCACACATGCACGGCTTAGCGCGACAAAAACCTTTTAGTATAATAAGCCATCTTGCTCCTGAATGAAACCGTTGGGAGGGACACAGAAGAGATGCAGCAGCAGCTCAGGTGATGGAAACAGCGTTGGAAAAACTACCACCAAGGTCGCTGGTATAACAAATAATTGTGATCATAATAATGTGCTGCTCCGGTGAACTCTGATGAATAGATCTCCCCCCCTCCCTTCAGGTTATACCCGTGCTGCTGGAGTCAGAGGTCAGGGTCACCTGCGGAAGCTATAAGAGCGTTTCGGTTTGTTCAGAGGCATTTAGGCTCAATAAAGGTTTTTAAAAAAGGCTTATTCTAAATATATTTTTGCAAATTTAATCTTCTTTGGAGATAAATAGCTATTCTTCAGTCGGTCACACAAACACAACTTTTAAAAACTTGTTTGCAATTTCCTGTAGGTTTTTAAATGTTTTTCTGTATCTCTTTAAAACTGGATTAATCTTTTTATTTTCTATAATATGCAAAGAGTAAGGCATTCCAACATACTCAGCTCAATTAATTAGGTTAGAGTGCATCTGAGGGCTGCCGCTTAATTACACAGATATGATAAATTAATGCATTGTTGGCGCGTCTGTAATTATGCTAATTATTTTATACTAGCAGCAAAATCTTCACCCTGTCAGATTTAATAACAAGTGAAAATCTCAAGCAGCTGTTAGCAAAAAAAATGGAAGCGAGATGTAATGGAATTTATTTTTGTCTCAAAAATTGAATGTTTCACATCGGACAATGTGTATCCCCTCAGAGGGATGAAGGTAGGGTAGTTTTTTTTTTCTCTCTCTCTCCCCTTTTATCTACGTTTTATTTTTTTGGAAATCACAATTTTCAGTTTCCCCCGAAGAGTCCACTCCATCAAGCTGCGAGTCTGTGTCAAACAATATGACGGAGTTCATCTTTAAGCCCTCCTCCTGCTGGATGTGCGGCACCCACATCAGACACAGACGTGGGGCCCCGACTCTGAGCACGCGGTGTCTCAAGCGCCTCTGCGCGCGCCCGATTTTCTGTTTGTCGGGAGGCCCCGTTTTATAAGAATGTTTGTATATCTACTGAAACGCAGCAAATTTGCAGCAAATTTGTATTTTCTGCACCTGATGTATGACGCACCTCATGTGCTCCTCTTGTTTGTAGCTTTTGTACCAAGCAGCACATTCATGGTTTAGGGAATAATTTACTATAAATATATATATAAAAAAAGCCCACAGATTTTTCTTCTGTTCTCTTACTTTTACAATACGTTTCTAGAAAGTGAGCCCGACCATTGTTATTTTTTATCCTCTTCAATAAATACAGGCTTTCAGTGGATTGACTTATACCAATAACAGCATGAATCAATAACGCTGAAAAAGTGTAATGTTAGACAATAGACAACAATGAAAGAACAAGCTTTCAAAAATTCAGTGTAAATTATGTCACGTTTCTCCAATTGTAGTCTTAAAAAGATGAAATATTTACTTCCTTGCTTTTTCTTCTTAATACATTCTCATTCATTCCTTTGATTGTCATTTTACCCTATAGATTACTGAAATGCAATCTATTAATTAATTTAAAAAAAAAATTAAGTAGCATTTGATTTTTTTTAATCTGTCAAATATACACTTGTATGAACTTTGAAAGACTACTCTTGAAGGAAAATAAAACATTTTTTGGATTTAATTCTCATACAAAATAGTTACATTTTAACGCCAGAAAATATCAGTTTCTATTTATTTGTCTACTTCTTAGTTTAAAAAAAATGTCTCGCCACCTGTCCATCGTTGGACCACCATACCAGGACAAATCCTGACACACCGGCAGCGAGAAGACCACTGGGAGGGGACAGACCTGCATCAAACTTTGAGGATTTTCATCCGCTGATGCCGCTGCTGCTGCTGGGAAAGTGACACCTCCAGCTAAATGCAGCGGTGGATTACCATGCCAATGTATACTTGTTAAATACTTACGGTGTCACTCAGTTTGTAGCTCTTTGTCATTCAGAGGGTGGCTGAAAGTTACGCATCAGAATATTGCCTCGTTGTGTGAGCGCACGCATGAGGCAGATCAAGGCCGCGAACAGTTGCGAATTGGTCCCACTTCTGGCCTTTTACGCGCAGTCAAAACACACGCAGTCCAACGCGTTGTGTGCGTGAAAAGGAGGCAAACTCTGACTTAGTAACACACCCGAGACTGATCGAACAATGACATAATTTACTTATATGGTTTAATAATAAAAAAAGAGTAAAATTGTTACATGAAATCATAATAAATGTTTATTTTCGCAACAATTTGTGGAAAGTTGATTCTTCTTCACTGATACTTGGAGGAAAGTTTTTTTTTTGTTTTTTTTTTTTTGTTTTTTTTTGTTTTTTTTTGTTAATAAAAATAAATAAATGAAACACCCCAAACAAAAATAATCTTCCTCAGGAAGGTTACTGGATGAAAATGTAAAAACCTGCAGATGCTCATGTTTGCATTTGAACCAGGTTGAAACGGACCTTTCATTCAGCATGACCCTTGAACTCAATATCCTCTGCCTATTGATGCATACATTTATATATAACATCACAGTAAATTACCTTCTGCATTCGCCTGCCCTGTACCCATAATAATGTTCCTTCACCTAATCTGTCAGGTTCCACTCTGAGACACTTTACCTCTTGTCGAACCCAATTATTGCAGAAGATGAGGAAGAGGCAAAAGGTTTTGGCTTGGCAGAGAAACATGTTTGGATTCAGAATCTTCTTTATTGGTAATATTATGCTAAAAGCAAAAATATTCCAGAAAAATACTGTTCTCACATGACAAATAATAGTATTTTCATGCAGACTTTTTTTTTTTTTATTATTGAAGCAACATTTTCTACACTATCTCATATTTGCTTTATAAAAGTGTCCTTGTCTATTATTGCAGTGGGGAAGTGCACATCCTTATCAAAGTCATGGTGCTGTCTCTTGAAATTAGAGACAGCACCTCTAAATTGTCAATTACACAGAGGTTAAGTAGACTGAATAGACTCAATGATTCAAATCAGGTGGTACAATTTATTGCACATCACTCTCTGGTTTCATTTCACAGAGCACTGACAATGAAGCGCCTTTATTTTACACAATAGGTGAATAAAATTGGCACAGATCCTATCTATGCTGCTCAGTTTTTCATGCTACTTATAAAAATTTGCTCAACAAATGATTTTTTTCATCTTTGAAGTGTTTTGTTTAGACTTATTATGAACAGTAATTTTTAGATCATAAAATAGATCCAGAACAATAGTCATTGTTTAGCATAATAACCGTTAAATGGAAGTAATAGGATCAGTCTTAAATGTGATATGCTTTTAAAAGGTGAACTGGCATTCCTCAAAGTCTTTTAATGTTAACTGATAATTCATATACTGATTTGTTTTGATTTTCCATTTGAATCATGAAGCATAATGCAATAATAGATGTCATATGCACATAATTTTGTGCAATATGGGACAATCAGGGTGAACTTTCTTTTATTTTTTGTTTGGATCCTCTCTTTAACCCTGATCTCTGCACTTATTTATAACTTATCTGCAGAGAAAATATTTATTTGAGGAAATATATGGTTCATCTGCATTTTTAAGAAATTGTTCAATTGTCCAGAACTGTGACAGACCAACACGAAGTAATGTGTAGTTGTGAAAAGGAAGAAAAAATATACTTGATTTCCATTATATTTATTTATTTACAAATATGAATCTGAAGTGTTGTATAAATAATGTGTCAGTACATGTATGCAAGACAATTTTTTCAATAATATTTCAAGCTCAGTCACTTTGAATGAACATCAATTTTCAAGCACTGACGGAGATTCTGAAAGAGTTTTAGATCCGAGTCATGAAAAAACTTTAAGTTAAACCTTTCCATTGTAGCATAGACTGTATGTTTTGGATTTCTTTCCTACAGGAAGACAAATCTTCACTTCAGTCTCAACCCTTTTCTAGCCTATGACAGTTTTTTTTGTCACCCATTTAATTAGCTCTGTCTATTTTCCTATGAACCAGTTTCCTTGTCTTGCAAAAAAACACAATGTTTTATGTTGGACATGGTGTATTCAGGTCAGTGTCTATTTTCCACCATTTTCCGTCATTTTTCTGCATGAACACCAAACATTTACTTTGTTACATCCAACCATTAAACCTTCTTTCACATATTAGGTTAGTAGTTCTAAACACAACATAAGGAAATACATGTTTATTTTCTATATATCTATGCACACTCACTTGTCTTGACGTAATTCATTAAAGGGTCATGTACTTATTATTATTTTAATTTAAATTTAAATTTACTTCAAAGGTGTGCATACATTTAAGTATAAACTTTTCCTTTCCAGTTGTTAAATCATAGCTACAGCTAACATTTCAGTGATTATACATGTATTTCTTTATCAATATAATTAGTACTTATAATAACAAAACTAAGTTAAGTCTAATTATATTTAAGATGACTTTTAACTCAAATCTTTTACTTTGTATTGCTTTAACTGCTTATTTAGTCCATATCCCCATTTAAATGTGACATACATGGCAAAGTTAAGAATGTATACATGGTTAACACTCAAAGAAAGTTAGTGCCCTGAAACCAGAACTTGTAGTCCAAAGTCAGCTACACAAGCATCAATATTTTACAATCTCTCAAGAATCCCCATTGCAGATGCAATCAATGCCTCCTATTCATTATCCATGTGTATGTCTTCTAGGTATGGCCTTTGTCGTTCGGCAATAATTCTCCCTTCCACAGTTCCACATCACTCCACTGAGCCATACTTTTACAAATGCCTCAGGGCTATAAATACTAATGAAATCTCTTTGCTTAATTTGATTTTGCTGGTACACTTGCAGTTATGGCTGAACTTTCCCACGAGAGAGGCTGATTGGACACTTTCAAGTCCTTATGGAAGCAGGAAAACATTCCAAAGAGCTGGGGAGATCATTTCCATAATTACCCCGATTGGCAGCCTAATGACCTTCTGCGACAATAAAAAGATCTCTTGTTAATTCCATTTCTGTCGCTGACATTCAAGAGATTCCTATCTTACATGTTTGAGGGTTCACAAGATAACAAGTGTACTTTTTTTCCCCCCTCACGAGCAAAAGAGCAGTCTCATTCAGTGTTGCACCCCCCACCCTCATTCCACGTCGCTACCAACGGCTCTGCTCTGCTTTGAACAGGATCTGCCTGAGTCTGCACAGCTCCTCTACTCTGCTCCAAAGTTGGATAATTTATGGACCACGAGGAGATTATAAAGATGGATCTGTAAGGCAATCAATTCCCATGTTGCGCTTTTGAATGGTGGGATAGAAATGAAGTGCAGAATAATTAAAAAGATCACAAGTCCCCCCTCGCATGTAATAACGAGCAGGTCCAGAGGCGGTGGGCTCCTCCACGGTGCCAGAGGAAGCTCTTTTGATGTGACTGAGAGGACACCTCAGCTGGTCCAGAGCTGCTGCACAAAGGGATGGTTTCACCCGGCACCACACACTGAGGGCGCATTGCCACGCATGCAGAGTCAGTTTGACCAGGCAGATCACAAGCAGATACTGTTGTCAGAGGAAGCTGAGACACTTTTTTATCTGCTTAGATGTCACGGTGACTCAGAGCTGGCAGCGATGCAGAGTGTGTGGGGGTCTGTTTGGAATATGTTTCACAGGGCCCACAATGCTCAGAGT